TGGGCATATTTCTATTCGTCGCACGACGAGCGCGAGAGGTGGCACGAGGGTGCGGCCGCAAGTGTGTGTGTCTGGGCTGGGAAACAACCGCAAATAAATCTAGCATCGAAAGCAACAAATTAAGACGAGCGGGAGGCTATGAACATTCAATTACGTGAATCTGAAGATGATGTGCATGGGAAGGAAATAAAGGAATTTAAAAAAAATAGACTGGATACAGTTGTAAAAAGATGTGCGCCTGCACGTTTACACGTCATCATTTCCATCGTTGGCATCGCTGGGAAGCTGTGAGCGGACTTCAAAGGGATATGGTGGGCAGGTGCAATCACCCCGTGGTACCCGCTAACTTCGCCTGCTTTTTTTTTCTTTTGGTGTAATTTGAGGATAAGTGCAGGGAACTTTCGCGGCGCTCCGGTCGCCGACGCGGAGTTGCTGCAGGCAGCAGGTGCGACTGCGCCGGCTCCTGCGCAGGACGGAGAAGCCTGGCGCCTCCCATTGCTTTTTCGTGCAGGAAGGACCGACAGGCACGCCCCCAGGACGGAAGGCGCGGCCTCGAGGTAATAATGAGGAGGTCCCAGGCGAGACGGATGCCCCCTTTGGGGAACGTTTTTCCCACCTTTCTGCCCCCGGGGTTGGCGGAGTCAGTCCCCCAGTTGGGTTTGGACGCTTCCTGTTTTTCTTTTGCGGCGTGGGGGAGTGTCTGCCGGTGGAGACACCGCGGTTCTTTCGTTACCGGGTCGCAGGCAGTCACCGTCGTTGGGCGTACACGTTGACACAAAGGCTATGGGGTCCGCCCGGGGGTTCCGCGGATTCTGAACTCAGCCGCTGCAGGTGCTCCGGGAGTTGCCCCTTTCCGGTGGGCAGCGCCCTCTCATTTGCGCGTGGAAGCCTGGTTGCACGCTCCATGCGTACCACAGACCGGCGCGTGTGCCCCGGGGGTAGCCAAGCCGCCCCCGACGACTCCGAGCCGGAGGCGACGGCCCATGCACCTCTCGGCGTGAACTTTGCTCATTCTTCGCACTCGCGTACTGTTTCTGCGTGTTCTCTGCGACGGAGGTTGCCGCCTCCAAGTTTCTGTGTGCCACGACAATTTGGGGCGGCCGCCTGGGGGAGTATCGTTTTTTCCTTTTTCTACTTTTTTTAAAACTTTTCAGGGCGGTGCGCCGGCGCATGCTCGCTGTTCTATTGAGGGAGTCTCCTCGGGCGATCGCGGGCCCCGCTTTTTCCTCTGACACACGTCGGTTGTGTGGCTTCGCGGCGCTCGCAGGATTCCTCTGGGGGTGCGCGAATTGACAAATTTTGAAAATTGCAGAATCCCGGCGACTTGCCCCGTCGCGGGTGCGGATTCAGACGGTTGTTGCGCGCTGCCGCTTCTGGCTGCTGCAGGCGTCGAGGTGGCCGGGGAACCGCTG